CCCTTAACCATGAATATCAAAGTTGTTCATAATGATACTCTAAACATGTTCAAGCAAATTGCAAGGTCATACAATCATTTCATGTATTAGTCACACATAGTGCTATCTAGGTTAACACATGAAATCTTAAGTGTTTGGTCATGAAAGGTGACCTTCATGAACAATGTCCTATTTGCTAACCTATGTGTTGTTAAATGTTTTTGTGACTCACATCCACGAAGTACATGTTTACACTCATGATCATTTGCATATGTACAAGGAAACATGCAATAACAAGCAAATGTTGCATATGTTTCAATCCAATGTTTCAATTGTAAATGCTTGTTTATGAATGCTTGATGATCATGCTCATGTTATGCAAGTTAAGTTATGCAAGGCTAACACCTAGGGTGTTACACTACATATGTGCTAGAGTATTTGATTCTAAACTCACACATATGCATAGATTGAAAATGTGGGAGAGTAATTACTACCGAATGATGCTAAGGTGTATAGAATAAACCTTTGAAGTGTGATACCAATCGGAGTTGCACCTTTAAGTTCATCCTTAGCACCATGGTTAGCTAGATATCATTTGGAAATAAAATCACTAGATACCTCATGAGATCAACTTTAAAAGCATGGTACTAGCATTACTTTGTAAAACATACCAAGTGTCTAGCTATCATCCTAAGCATTCTAGTTATCAAATCATCATTCAAGTTCTATAACTAGCATACAACACACAAGCATGCATATTGAATATAAGAACTTATGCAATGCAAGCAAGCACATAAATATGCACATATCAAACCGGGTATGAACTTCTTTAGCCAGTTCACCTGCCCCGTTGCCTCATAACACGCTACAAACTTGGCATACATTGTGGACGATGTAGTGACGGTTTGCTTTGAGCTTTTCCATGAAATAGCTCCCCCTGCGAGAGTGAATACATATCCAGACGTGGATTTTCTATCATCTTCCGCGTAATCAGAATCTGAATATCCCACTATATAGAGTGAATCAGATCTTCTATACGTCATCATGAGGCCTTTCGTTCCTTGCAAATAACGCAAGACTTTCTTTACCAATTTCCAGTGTTCTATTCTAGGATTGCTCTAAAATCTGCCAAGTAACCCTGTAACAAATGCCAAGTCAGGGCGCGTACATACTTGAGCATATTGCAAGCTTCCGACAGCTGAAGCATATGGAACCGCTTTCATTTGATAGATCTCATATTGGTTCCTAGGACATTGAAAATCCACATATATGTCGCCCTTGACTATAGGAGCAGGTGAGGGACTACATTTGTGCATACTAAATTTCTTTAAGATTTTCTCTATGTATGCCTTTTGTGACAGTCCTAATACCCCTTTACTTCTATCTCGGTGAATCTCGATCCCTAGAACGAACGAAGTTTCACCAAGATCTTTCATATCAAATTTTGAGGACAAAAACTTCTTTGCCTCCAGTAGTAGACTGACATCACTACTAGCAAGTAAGATATCATCCACATATAGGACAAGGAAGATGAACTTCCCATTCTTAAACTTTGTATAGACATAATTATCCTCTACATTCTCTTTAAACCCAAAATTTCTTATTGTCTGACCAAACTTCAAGTACCACTGTCTTGAAGCTTGTTTTAATCCATAAATGGATTTCTTTAGGCGGCATCCCATTCGTTCTTTTCCTTCCATGACAAAACCTTTCGGTTGTGCCATGTAAACATTTTTCTCCAAGTCCCCGTTGAGAAATGTCGTCTTTACATCCATCTGATGTAATTCTAAATCGTAATGTGCCACTAATGTCATTATGATTCTGAAGGAATCCTTACATGAGACTGGAGAAAAGGTCTCGTTGTAACCAATCCCTTCTCTTTGCGTAAAGCCTTTTGCCACAAGTCGCGCTTTATATCTCTTTATATTCCCTTGAGAGTCAAGCTTTGTTTTGTAGACCCATTTATAGCCTACTGTTTTTGCTCCTTTAGGAATTATTTCCAAAACCCAAACTTTTTTGGCATTCATAGATCTCATTTCATCTTCTATGGCCTCAAGCCACTTTGATGAATGATCACTTCTCATGGCTTCTTCAAATGAGGTGGGATCATCCTCCATTTGAAATTCCTCAGTGTTGTACACTTCATAGTCTGCAGGAATAGCTGATTTTCTAACTCTTTGAGACCTTCTAGGGGCCTCCACATTTGGCACATCTTCTGTTTGAGGCTGTTGTTGCTCCCCCTCATGTGTGGCAATTGGTTCTATAGGATCCTGAAGAACAGGTTTCTCATCATCATTCATTGTTGCCACAGGCGGAATAACAACAGGTGATGGCACCATAGTATCTTGCACTGTCGGTGCAGCGACAGCAGGTAGTGAGAAAAATGGCTCATGAATCATCGGAGTGGGCGCATACACCCGCTTCTCTTTAAAGTTAATTTCTCGAGCTACCATGCTCCCCCTCATCATTTCATCCTCTAGGAAGACATCGTGTCTCATTTCCACAAACTTTGTATGTCTATCTGGACAGTAGAAATGAAAACATTTTGACTTTTCTGGGTAGCCAATAAAATGGCAACTTACTATTTTGGGATCTAGCTTCCCAATGTTTGGGTTAAATACTTTAGCCTCAGCAGGACTCCCCCCACACGTAAGTGGTTTAGTGAGGGTATTCTTCCTGTCCACAACTCATACGGTGTTTTGGGCACCGACTTACTTGGTACTCTATTGAGAATATGAATGGTGGTTTTTAATGCCTCCATCCACAGGCTTATTGGTAAGGTGGAGTAACTTATCATACTGCACACCATATCCATCAGGGTACGATTGTGCCTTTCAGCTACTCCATTCTACTGAGGTTCGCCCGATGTAGAATATTGGGCTACTATGTCATTCTCCTGTAAGAACCTTGCAAAAGGTCCAGAAACTTAGCCATATGGGGTATGCCGACCGTAGTACTCCCCCCCACGATCGGACCTGACTATCTTAATCTTTAAATTATGTTGGTTTTCAACTTCTGCCTTAAATATCTTAAATTTATCCAATGCTTCTGTTCTTTCTTTGATTGGATAAATATAGCCATAACGGGAGTAATCATCTGTGAATGTTATGAACGAATCATAACCATCCACACTCTTTACAGGAAAGGGACCACAGATGTCTATGTGAATAATCTGTAAAATTCATGCGCTTCGTTTGACATCTTTCTTAATTTTCTTTACATACTTTCCTTTTATGCAATCTCTGCATTGTTCTAAATCTGAGAGCTCTAATGGAGGAAGAATATCATTCTTAACTAGTCTTTTTATTCTCCCCCTCGAAATGTGGCCTAAACGACAGTGCTATAATTTCGACAACGCATCGTGAGCCCTCTTTCGTTTTCTGTTTACATCCACAGACGAGGATACATTCACATTGTCGCACGCAATGTCCCCATCATCGCATACAACATTCACATCATCACGTAGTGATAACAAATAAAGCTCATTTTGTAAGATAGCAAGACCAACACATGCATTATTAAATATTATCTTACATTTGCCATTTCCAAAATGACAATCATATCCATCATTGTCCAAACATGAAACACTAGTCAAGTTCCTCTGTAATGAGGGAACATAAAGAACATCTCTAAGTATAAGTTTGAAACCATCAGCAAGCTCTAGAGAAAGATCGCCAACGGCTTCAACTTCTGCTCGGACTCCATTTGCGATTTTAACGTGTCTTTCGCTTCTTTCCGTAGTCCTCATCGAACGAAATCCCTGTAAAGAATTAGCAACATGAGCAGTTTTTTTTGAGTCAATCCACCAAGTAGATTTGAATCTGTACATACTGAGGATTCATTTATGAACGTAATAATGTTCTCACCTTTCTTTGCCATGATCATCTTTAAGTAATCGGGACAATTTTTCTTATAATGTCCCGTCTTCTTGCAATATAGACATTGGTCTTTCTCTACTGTGAACTGGTTCTGCTGAGGCTTATGCAGCATGGGACCCTTTCCCTTTGACTTTGAGGAGAAGTTGGCATTATTATTCTGTTTCTTATTGTCTTTCAAATAATTAATAGAGCCACCATTGGCAGCTTTCATTCTCTCCTCTTCTTGCACACACATAGCCATGAGCCTTTCCATGTCCCATTTCTCGGGCTGTATGTTGTAGTTGACAACAAAAGTGTCAAACTCTTTTGGCAACGAAGCAAAAATCAGATGGATAAGGAACTCAACCTTGAGAGCCAGATCCATTGGTTTTAACTTGGATGCCAAATTGCTCATCCTTAATATGTGCTCTCTTATGCCACCATTACCTGAGTACCTCTCTGTCACCAGCTGCTTTATCAGTTGGGTACCATATGTCTTTGAAGAGCCAATGAACTGACTCTTTATTCTTTCGAGATACTCGGTGACGGTGTCACACTCTGGGATTGAGCCCACAATTGCAGGCTCAATCATGTTCTTTATCACAGCCAAACACTTATTGTTGGCAGTGACCCACTTCCCATGTTTTCAAGACGGCTGGTCGAGTCTGGACGCCTGGGGACCGTCCAGAACGTCCAGGACGATTAGTCGTCGTCCAGGACGATTAATCGACCCTGGACGAGTCCCCTGGGCGTCCTGGTCGTCCCCTATATGGGGAAAGCGATATACCATATATATTATATAGTTACTCAAACTAATATACACACACTAATATACTACATGTTCTAGGCTCTAGATAGGTGGGTTGGCCACTTACCGTCTGCTGCAGAGCCCTTTCTTGTCTTCTTTGGCTGCTGGCGACAAACTGAAATTATAGAAAAATAAAGCACATTAGCAAGGAAATATGGTGAAAGGCAATCAAGTGATCAACAAAGGAAATTAAAACAATAAAGCACACAATTTAAACCAGTCCAGAATCAAGCATAGTGCATAGTGCTAGTGGGCATAGTGCCACACTTTGCCATTGCCATAGTGCATAGTGCAATAGTGCATACATCAAGTCCAATACATAAATAGGCAAAACAGCCAATGATCTAAAGAACTACTCAAGTAGAGTGCCATCTACAAAAGCCTCCTCCATCTCCATCATTGCACATCCATGGGGTCTTCATCCTCCTCCATTGGTGCCACAGGATCAGATGCATCTTGATCTTCTTGGTCTTCATTTCTTGCATCAACATCATGGTCACTATCATCTTCTTCACCTCCGGATATATCTTGTCTTTTGAAGTCCCCCCACGATGCTTCCTGTTCCTAGTATAGGTCTTACGGACAATGGCTACAACACGGCTAGCAACAACCCTAGGCAAGTTATGAGCCCTTAGATTCTCAGATGCACCAATAGCTTCATCCACAACAGCCCAAGGCAGCTCCCCACAATTCTCATCAACCCATTCACTGTCCCACTAAAACTCTTCTAGCAAGAGAGGGTTGCTCCTCTTTCCTTTGCAACCAAGTTCTCGAATTTTTTGAAACCTATTTGTCATCTTTTTGTTGTAACTAACATAAACCAATTTATTTAGCCTCTTGTGCTCTAATCTATTCCTCTTTTTGGTGTGAATCTGCAGAAAAAAAAATAACATGACATCACATTGGTCTACAATTTCCAACAGCACTAACACTCTAGCAATGATACTTACACTAGAGAATTCGCTCGATTCGCTCACAAACGATCTTTCGCAAGAACAAAGATCGATAATTTTCTTTGCTAAACATTGTAGTTCAAATGCATGGCCACCATATGAACACCACCAACGAACTGAAACACAATTAGACTAGAATCAGCTCATAGCAAAACAGAATCAGCACAATTGAAGGAAAGAAAATGTTCTAAACTTACTAGGGTTCTTTTTGTCTCTGTCCCTTATAGCTAAAGGCATTGAGAAGCCTTCACCTTCAGATTGTTCATAGTCATCAGCTTGCTGCGAAATCTTGGTTGACACATTGTCATCAGTCACCATTTTCCATAGAACTTGATTGAACATGCCTCTTAATCTTGCAGCTTGTCTCTTGTCTTTCTCCCTTATGGCAAAGAACTTGTTTGGATTCAAGAATAGGGCTACCCCATATAGCTTTTGTTCCATTTGGGTATCCCACCTCTTATCATATAACGCCAGCACCTGGCAAAGTAATTCAGTTTTATCTTTTAGAGATTCTTTGATGGTGCTTTTTGCAACATCCATGGCTGCAGTGATCTCAGGAGTTGCTGGTGTCTCATCCCCATCTGCAATCCTTAGAGCAACGAGAAGTGGTTGTGAAGCTTTCAAGCAATATTCCAATTTAGTCTAAAATGGCACAAATAGGATAATATTCTCAACTCGTTTGCCTTCAACAGACTTAGACATGCTGTTATTGTGCCATTCCTCGCTGACGACTAAATTTCTCAAGCCTTGCTTATTTTTATACATACTTGCCAAAGTGAGATAAGAAGTAGCAAATTGAGTCACAGCTGGCCTCACAAGATCCCCACCTATTTTATGTCTCATTAGATCAAGTATCCTCCCATGCTTGTATAGAAATCTGCTCACCTTCTTTGCTGAATTTATGACAGTGTTGAACTCCTTTATCTCTCCAATGTCTTGCAGCAACAAATTCAGGCAATGGGCAGCACAAGGTGTCCAAAACAAGTGTGGGATCCTCTCCATTAGAATCCTTCCTGCTGCCTTGAAGTTGGACCCATTGTCTGTGATAATCTGCACCACGTATTCCCTCCCAATCTTGTCAATTTGCTTCTCTAACAAATCTGCTAGCAAATTCATATCAGCTACCTCACTTGATGCATCAACTGAACCTAGGAAGAAGGTCACTGCTGGACTGTTTGCAAGAAAATTGATTAGATGACGATGGCTAGTATCTGTCCAACCATCAGACATCAGAGTGCAACCATACTCTTTCCAAGCTTCCTCATGCTTCTTCCTCAGTTCTGTTGTCCTATTGACAGCCCTTTCTAACAATGGCTCCCTAATTTCATGGTAGGATGGTGAGCGGTACCCAGGTCCATACTGTCCAATTAACTCAAGCATAATCTCCCAGCTTCTAGAGTTAATGACATTGAATGGTATATGATTTTCATAAAAGAAATCAGCTACATGGCCATCAACAACTTGTTTGTTCTCCTTCTTTGTGCAATGCTCTATAGTAGGCTGAGAAGTCTTGAATTTGTGCCTTTCTGAAACTACCTCTTCTGGTGTCGTCCGAAGCATGGAAACAACTGACTTGGTGTTCTTTTGATTTACTGGTTTTGATGAACCAGCAGCAGCCATATAGGCAGCGATGGAAGATTGAGCTACTTTCTTCTTTGCTTGTGCTTGCTTTTGCTTGGTCTTTGTACCAGAACTAGGCACTTTTTCTGGTTCAACTTCATCACCTTCACCCTCTTCAGAATCTTGTTGAACTTCAGGAACTACCACAACTGCAGACCTTGTATTCTTCTTGATGTAAGCATCCATCTCTCGCTTAATAATCTCAGGGCAATTTGGACATCCAAGTGCATCACCATAACTTCCAGCAAGGTGTTGCTTGAACCTACTAATTCCTGAGGGAGTTATCTTCTTACAAAAAAATACATTGCACAGCGTCCTTTGCAATATCTGGCCACCATCCAAACTTCCATCCAGGGTCTCGAGACTTAGCCTTCCTCTTGGGATCTTTAGCTTCAGCAGCCATTTCTGGAGGCAGTTTTGCTAGGGCCTTTTCCACAAGAGATGCAACATCGGGAGCAGTTGATGCTGCTGAACCAGCAGGAGCAGTAGAGCCTGATGCAACTGAGGAGGCTGGAGCAGAACCAACTTCTCCTTAAACTTCAGCATCAGGGATGTTCATGTACACTTCCACTGCACATTGCCTCTGTCGATCTAGATCTACACAGAGAAACAGAGCTTCAAGCTTCAAAGCACCAAGATTGAACGAGGAGGTGATGACTGACCTAAGGAGGAGGAGCTCATATTCTTCGTGCAGTCTTCCTCCCTTGCACAGTTGGATCTGCAGTTCTACACCCGCTGGATCTACAGGCCTACGTGCCTGTAGCACTGCAGCGACCACAAGGAAGAGAGGGAGGGCAGCTGGAAGAGGGAGGAGCAGCAGGGAACCAAGGGAGGGCAGCTGGAAGGGGGAGGAGCAACTAGAAGGGAGAGGGAGGGCTGCTGCTGGACTGGGAGAGGTGAGAGACTAGAAGACTGAAGAGTGAGTGTGTCTGCCGTGTGAGTGAGAGGCTGAGGGAGTGAGGGGGTAGGAAAGGGAAACCCTAATGGGCTTGGGCTAAAATATAAAATAGGCCCAGCTCTCAGATACAGCCCACTCTCAGGCAGTACGGGCTGGACGACTAGCACAACCTGGACGGGTGATTAATCGCGGCTAGACGACGATTAATCGGACGTCCTGAAAACAGGGCCCACTTCCTATGCTCAAGGTCATAGGACATTCTTTGGGATGCAAAATCCCTCTCTGGTTGCCTAAGTTGTATCAGCCTCGTTTGTCTCCTTCACCGGTGCCACAGGCTCTGTGTGACACGGTGTGGTGACTACCCAGTCCACCTCAGCCAAGATGAAGGCCAGGTCGATCTTTTTCTTCTACTCAATGTAGTTATCACCTTTGAGAGTGGGGATCTCTTTGATACACCTCATCAAGTTGTATCCGCCTGAAAACATAATTCAAATAGAGTGAGAACATAAATAATAACAATAACAATTGCATGCCTTAGTTCCAACGTTGGTCAAAATTAAAACATACAATTGTTCTCGACTAATTCTACATCACCGTTGGGCAAAAATAGAATTAATGCATGACAAAACATCATAATATTGCCATTAATCAACATTGGTCAGAATAATAACAATATTATGATCAATTAAAACATACCATTTTTAAAATTAAATTCTCCCGTTTGTTCGAATTTAATAATAAAAATAACATCTTTAAATACGCAGCAGAATAAATGAACTCATTTTCTTGAATTTTACCCACAGGGAAAAATACTTTTTCTATTTTCTTTTGAGCCAATTTCCATTTTTCAATTTTCTGGAAAAAGAAAAAAACGAAACCAGGCTCATTCTTTACTGTTTCGGCCCAAAACCGGCAAAAAGTCGGCTCGGCCCATCGCCTCCACGCGCGCGAGCTGCCACCCAGGCCGCAACGTGGGCCTAGGTCAGCAAAGCTCTGCGGCGCGCTCGCCCGCCTAGGCCGCGATGCGGTCCGTTCGATTTGAGCCGTCCGCGCCGATCCGTTCAGATCCGACGGCCGAGCGGTGAGATCGGGTGAATAAAACCCGCTGACACCGGCCTCCTCCCGAAACACTAACTCACTTTCTCCTCTGCTCTCTCTCTCTCCCTCTCTCTCTCTCTCTCTCTCTCTCTTCGCCGCTTTCTTTCTTTCCTCGGCGCAGCAACAGCAGCCACCAAGTGACTCGAGCGGCGAGAACGGTGGAGCAATGGCAGCCATGGCGCCGTCGCCGGCCCCCTCGCCAGCGTGCGCGCTCCCCAGCGGGTGAGCGTGCCGTCGTCGAGCGGCCTGGCCGCGGCGCCTCTTTGGCTGTGAGCCTGGCGTGAAAGCGCCCGACTCGCCTTCTTCTTCTCCCCACGCCCGGCGTGAGGCAACAGCGTTAGCTGCTGGCAGCAAGAGGTAGGACTCCCCTTCCCCAACATCCCCCTCTTATTTCTTTGCTGTTTCTGTTCGGATTCAACCGATTTAGGATGGGGATCGAAGTTAGGGTTAGGGTTTCACTGTAGTTCTTTTTCCCGAATTGATTGCGGGTTTTAGGGTTCGGTTTAAACGTGAAACCGAGCCCTCCTTCTTCTTTCTTTAACCCAGTTAGGGTTAGGGTTCATCCGAACCCTCTGTACTTGTTAGAGCCGCAATGGATCTAACCTTCCTTTTCCTTTTCTAATCGGTTTACCCGTTCTAGATCTAAAACCCTAGAAAACGATGGCTCTGGTACCATTGTTATACTTATCGGATCACTAGGAGTAGATCTAGCCGGGGTGCTTGATGAAACAAAGACCTAGGATATGTTCTAGTGCAGCGATAGAGAGACAGAGAGGGGTGGATGAGGTCTGACGAACATGACACCGCGGAGGGGGAGGGTTCAGAGGCCACCATCGGATTCATTGGTGAAGTCTGCGCACGGGCAGCGACGGTCGATGAAGAGAGCAGTGAAGACGTCGACGTCGATGCAGCGGGCGGCGCGGCCGGTGGCTTCCCGTCACTGGCTACGCCCCTCTCTGATCAAATTAGGGTTTAGATGTCGGTGGAGAGCACGGCTCAAGTCAACCTCGTGATAAGAGCCGCCGGCCCCCACCTCTTTTTATAGCGCAGGGTGACAGGGGCCCTCCAGCCATGATGAGCTAGGCGCCCCCGATCAGGGAGCGAATCAAAGGCCCAACTGGACCGTTGCGTCCAGTTAGGTTAGAGATCAATCTAATCACCATTGAATAATTTGTCAAAATACTCTTGCTAAGAAACAAACCACCTCCACTTTTGATATACTTTATTAAAATATTGTTTTTTAATTATCCTTTCAGAGCAATAAGCAATAGGGAGCAATATATTACTGGCCAACTTTAGTGCTACAAAATCAGAATGAAAATATGTACACGATCGCTGTTGTATTATTTTTCATCTAATCTGAAAAGCAGCTGACTAACTGCAAAGCACGTCCGGGGTGTAACAATAAAGGTTACCCCAAGGCCCATGTGCTATGCTAATCCTGTCCCCGAGTTAGCTCATGGTCCTTGGATGAAAGCGCCATGAGAGCAACCACTACAGATCTCATGGTAGGCCTCATCCTGGGCTCTTCATGCGTGCATGACTTTGCAAGGTACGCGATCTGGTGCAGAGGACACAGGTCATCAAACAGTTTAGCACATAGTGTTTATTCTGTGCAACAGTTGAACAAAAACTGATTGTGGAACCGAGTTTGCCTGTAGCACTGACCTTCACAACCGAATCAATGGGATAGTCACCTCCTAGCCTTGGATCCATCAGTTCCTGAAGAGCTTCCTTGTGGTTTGGCATGCTGAGAGCCTCCTCAAACTGCAAAAGGCAACAAGTAGATTGGAGAAATCAAACATATGCCCACGCACGAACACAGATGAGCGTGCTTTCTGCTTTACATTGTGTCCATTCTTTTCTTTTTCATCAACATCCAAACATGAAAATGCAACTCAAATTTTTACTTGACAACTGTTGTGGCCAACGTAACTAAATGAAACAGGCTTAGAGGAATAAAAGTAAATTTAGGTACAGAGTTCAGATCACCAGGATATATAATATACTTATTCATAATTCCTGAATCCAATTGATGCAGTACCATACATGTTGCGAACATATTCATCAACTTGGAGAATTGTATATTTGTAGTTGTGCACACATTCTGATTGACACTAAGAAGTACCAACTCCAAGCATGCTGATCCTCCCTATGTTCTGAATATTTGAAATGCAATGTTACAAATTGAAAATTGATCGGAGGGATAAATTACCAGATAAGCCAGGCCATGTGCATCAGTGAATTCTGTTGATCTCACAATAGCTTCTTTGGCTGAAAGAAGTTCATACAGGACTATACCAAAAGCGTAGACATCCACCTTAGGAGAAACCTCACCATATCGAGCATACCTGTCAATCAGACAACTCTTTGGTACTAATAAAATGTAGAAGCAGCAGTTGGGATTGTAAATGGTAGTCTATCAAACTATACTGTGATGTTATTTTGAGAGTGTGCACATTCATGCGAACTGAATAAATGAACAAGATAGTTGATACCCTGAATACTTACTCTGGAGGCATGTAACCAAATGTACCAACAACTCGTGATGGGAGTGACTGTGATGTAGCAGTAGTTCCAATTTCTGAGAGTTTTGTCAATCCAAAATCTGCAACCTGCAAGGTACCACTGGTATTGCACATAAGATGGCTAAAACATGGAAAGCTTCATGAATGGTTTCAACCTTTGCTCGAAAATCTTTGTCTATCAGGATATTTGCAGACTTGATATCCCGATGAACATACACTGGAACAGTGTGCTCATGAATATACTCTAGACCCCTTGCTGAATCAAGGGCGATTTGCACTCTACTGGTCCATGAGAGAGGCTCATAACCTACAAGAAATATATGTGCTGAATACTTTAAGGAAAGTGCAATACAGTACTGCAAGTGCAATGTGATACATTCAAATAGCAAAACTTTACCAGTCCCATGCAGATGCTGGCTCAGGTTTCCATTCTCAATAAATTCATAAACAAGGAACAAGCAACTCTCAACACAATAACCAATCAAGCGCACCTGTGGGTACCAAAGAATAATTAAAAATTATTCCAACAGGAAAACATCTGATAGTATGTTACGTATTGAAGAAATATAATCTTCTGTGAACTCTAGTCAATTTTATTATTAACTTTCTGAGGAAAGTACAGAAAAACAAAATATATAGTGGTTAGTAATTAAGATTAGTTCCAAATATGCCTTATCTCTGAAAAGTGAAAAATCTTAGATCACCAACCAGATTCGAGTGGTGGACGCGTGTCAAAACCTTCAGTTCAGCAAGGAATTCTTGAGATGCCTTTGTATCCATTTTCTTTATGGCAGCTTTCTGGACACAGGAAAGAGAAAGGGAAAATTATTTCACATCACAAGCATACCCCAGATAGACTGCCTCCTTTCATTTCGTTTATGTGCAAGTCCACAAGGGGTCATAGGCATTAGTTGTCTATTGAACTGTCAGAGTGCATGTGCACCAACTACATTGCCTATCCATGTTCCACACTGAGAAAAAGTTGAGCTGACCTCGCCTCTAAGCTCAGCATAATAAACAGAGCCAAAACCACCTTGCCCAATTTTATGCTCCATACTAAAATTGTTTGTAGCATCGGAAAGCTCTTCATATGAGAACTCTATGGATCTGTCGACCTTCATGCCCTCAGCTTGTGAAGCCTTGCCTGGAAAGACATTTAATTAAAAAGCGCATAACAAGTTGACAAAAACATACTATTGTGTTTGCCAACATGACACAATTTATATGAGCAAAAAGATAGTATGTTCCATACTAAGTTGGACCGAATCCTCTGGAGATGAGAATGATACGGCTTTTCTCATTTTTTGCTTCCTATAATACAACCAGATGCCAACAATCAAAATAACAATACAGGCTATCACAATTCCTGCTACTGCTCCTCCAGAAAGGTTATTTCCTGTTCCATGTAGTAGAACGTGAGTTAATTCCCTTTGTTTCTGTCAATTGAACAAACCATTCAACTTTGCTTGTCGATGTTTGATAGCCTTAATATAGAAGCATATCTCACAAAAGTGTAGAAGTGTGCCAGCACTGCACAAGGTGATGAACTATCAGAATTCTGAACCTGTTAATATAACAGAAATTAAAGATGATACTTGAACAGATAACAAAACAATACTCACCCTGATTCCAGAGGGCGGTAATTACTGTCTGCATCTGAAAAAAAAAACAGTAAAGCATTCCAACACAATTAAATTGATGCTATATGATTAAGTTGTTAAACACAAACTGTATAATTCCTTGCAAAAAGTGACCAGTCAATTAAATTAAAAAAACACAACTGAAAGTTGAGTTGGTCCTCTCACACAATGTTTTCAAGTCGTCCGATTAATCGCGATTAATCACGATTACTCGTCCTAATCGGTCTCTGGTGTTCGATTAGGAGGTCCGACTCGATTAGCTCGACCAGAAAGCTGGTCGTCCGATTAGTCGACGAGAAATCGTGATTAGTCGTCCGACTAGGACAGGGACGACCAGTTTGGTTACTCTGTTTTTGGGCCTATTTAACTGGGCGGACATGTGGGCTACTGGGCTTGCAGTTTGGCCTGTTAGGGTTAGAATGTTTAGCAAATAGGATTGTTAGCCTTTGTTGCGCTGCATCTAGATGCGAGCGTAGTTGGAGTGAATTTTCTGCTGTAAGTGCTAGTGTACTACTGCTGAGTAATTAAGTATGGTAGTAATATTGATATGTGATTCTGCATTATATTTTGTGTAGGTCCATACAAAAAAGAGAAACCGATTAGAGCACCAAAGGTTAAATAAGTTGGTATATATCGATTATAAACCGCAAGATGGAAAACAGATTTTTAAAAAAATAGAGAGCTGGGTTCCAAAGGAAAGAGATGCAATCCACTCTTGCTTGATGAATTTCATTGGGAAAATGAATGGGTCAATGAAAATTGTGAACCGAGACCGATTCGGTAGGTGGTGGTGGCGATGCTATGACTTGGGCTGTTGTGGATGAGGCTATTGGTGCAACTTTCGGGGTCTAGAGGGACGTAACTTGCCTAGTGTCTGCTGCTACTCGTCTTTGTTGTTCTTTGCCCTGTGAGGCGATACTTATGCTAGGAGCAGGAAGCGCCCAAGGAACACAGTGACCTCAAGATATTGATGAAGTTGATGATGAAGACCAAGATCAGCATGTAGATTCAACAATAGCAATGGAGGAGGATGAAGAATCTGCACCAAGCTGGCGGAGATGGACCAACTGGAGATGGAGATGGAGGCTTCAATTTTAATGTTGATTTGCTTAATTAGATGGCTAGTTGCCTACTTTTGTTGGGCTGTTAAATGTCAATGTTTGTGACTCTATGTTGAACACTTTAGCTTATGTGTCTTGAACTTGTTTAGTTATGTAATATCTTTGGTTGTGTGGTTGCTATGGTCTGCTATGTGCTAAGCTGCTAAATGCTAGTTATTTGCTACTGCTTGACGATTGCTTGCTAATTCAGCAATTGCTCTTTGTTGAGCTGTGTCAAGATCAAGACTACATTAGTGTTGCTAATTATGGTCTTCTTTGGTATTTTAGGCTTCCAGCAGCAAGTCAACAAAGAAATGAAGTTTGGGACAGGAATATGGACCTCTGGACATGGCAGAAAAGAGAAGAAAACAACTCCCACAAGTAAGTCACCAGCTAAACACTAATGTAGTCTTGATGCTTGCTTTATTGTGTATACTATATAGTATATATAGGTATATATATAGTAGGTATATATGTCCTGATATATAGGACGACCAGGGGTCGACTAGGCTCGACTAATCGGCCTGGTCGACGACTAATCGTGATTAGTCTCCTAGTCGGTCCCATGGCGATTAGGTTCGACTGGACGACTTGAAAACATTGCTCTCACATCATCAACTAAATAGGCAAATAGCTAACCCAATAACTATGATTAGCATATGAACCCTAGAAAATGTTCATTCATTTTTATTTTTTATTTTTTTGTGAGGATCTTCATTCATTTCCAATACATCAAGCTACTGATTTAGCATCTGTAGCCAGGCCCTAGGCATCAATAAGCAGCAATCAAGATAACTTAAGTTACCACACAATAAACTTTATAATACCAACGAAATGGTATATTTGAGGACTACAATTTTTGTGTGACCTAAGATTAGCCATTTTATTGTCAAGTCACAATTGCGATCAAACTAAACTGGACCACCAAGAATACAGTGACATGATTAAACTACTCTGAGCTGTTCACAAATTACCTAGCTACACTACCAAATTGAAATTCAAGCGGGAATCCAACTGCAGATACTGCAAAGGAATCAATTGTACAAACCCTTTCGCAATTCATAGTTTCACACGATCAAACCAAATTGGGAATTGTGTACCCTCACCTTTCACTGGGATAAACACGATCCCCTTCCCGGAGGCCCCGTCCATACCAGGGTTAAACCTCCTGAGCAGCTCCAGCTGCGCACGAGACGAGAACCCGTAGTGCTCCGCCACCGAGGAGAACGTTTCCCCTTCCCAGAGCGGATAGGTGAGGAACAGCCCGTACCGCCGCGACACCCTCTTGTCGCCGCAGGAGCAGTTCACGGTGACATTGATCTTCCCAGCGGCGGGCAGCTTACCCGCCGGGTGCGCGTTGGTGGCCGCCAGCCACGAGGCGGTGGTGAGGTTGGCGAATTGCGAGGCAACGTCGCCGTACGTCTCGCCGCCGCCGGTGAGCGTGTAGGAGAACGACCCAGCGAGGAAGGTGGAGGCTGGGTCAGCGGGGAGCCCGAGGCAGGAGCAAGGAAACGGGACGCTGACGCGGTACCCGGTGACGATGTAGTTCGGGTCCGCGATGTCGGGGTTGTAGGGGAGCAGCTTGGTGTAGTCGGCGATGCCGAAGATGGAGGCGATGAAGGTGAGGTTGGACTCATCCGAGAAGTAGTACGCGGCGAGGGCCAGAGGGCAGCCGACGCGGCAACCGTCCCCGGAAGCTGACACCGTAGGGGCAGCTCCGGTGAGGAGGACGAGGAGGAGAGGGAGCATGGCGTGGCTGTGGCGGACTGGGAGCGGAGCCAGTGACGCGATGGTTTTGACTCCTACAGTAGACAGATGGGACAATGCAGTGGGCTCGGTTTATCGGGCCAAAAAACGCACACGCCCGCCAAGGCCGAGCCCATTTATGTGCCATGGTTTGGCATTATTAAGTTACACTTGCTCAAGCATCTTTAGAGAACTTGATCCTCAAAACGATTTTTTATAGCACTGGATTCCTTCTAAGGGGAAATCTGGTGGGATGTTAAGCGGCATCAAGCTGGAAAGGTTTTCCTTAGAAAACTTTGAAAATGGAGAGTTTGTTATAGTTGCTAATGTGCTAGATAAAAAAACTTAACAAAACCTGGCCCTCGCTAATGTTTATGGATCTGCGCAAGATGAGTATAAAGACCAGTTTCTGTGTCACTGGCAAATAAGTGTGCTGACAGTAAGCACCCTTTGCTAATGGGTGGGGACTTCGATATTTTACACCACAGTGACGATAAGAATAAGAAATTTGTTAATAACAGATTTTTAGAACTTTTCAATCGTATTATAAATATGTATGAATTGAGGGATTTGGCCCTTCAAGAGGGTAAATGCACCTGGAGTAACAATAGAGCTGACCCAACTTTAGGAAAGCTAGGCAGGGTGTTCATCTCCGAAAAATGCAAAATAAAGAAAATCCCAAGATATGTTTCTGATCACAATCCCATTGTGTACAGTAATGATATGAAGTGCTGGGACCCTGAGGAGAAAATCACCGAAGAAGAAAACAGTAAGCTAACTGAAACGTTCTCTATAGAGGAAGTTAAGACTACTGTCTTTTCTATGGAAAAGAATACAGGCCCAGGGCTTGACCATTTGCCAATTTAATTTTATCAACACTGCTGGGACATCATAATAAATGACTAATATCATATGTTCAATGATTTCCAGGAAGGTAAAATGGACATTGGACGTTTTAACTATGCCATAATCACCCTACTACCCAAAATTAAAGATGCAAATAGGATTCAACAATATAGGCATATTTGCCTTTTGAATGTCATCTTCAAAATCTTTACCAAAGCCCTTATGCTTAGGTTGGAGAAGGTGATGAGTAGAATCATTAACAAATGCCAATCTGGTTTTCTCAAAGATAGAAACATTATGGATGCTATAATGGTTTTACATGAAATTCTGCATGATACTAAGGTGAAAAAGAAAGATGGTCTAGTGCTGAAATTAGATTTTGAGAAAACGTATGATAAGATTTATTGGTAGTTTCTTTTCTCTTGTCTAGATGTAAAAGTGAATAATAATTGTGGCCGTTATTTTAAGACTAGCAAAGGTGTTAGACAAGGGGATCTTTTGTCCTCTTTTCTTTTTAACATAACTGTTGATACACTAGCCAAAATGATCTCTACTACCCCAAAAAAAAAAGCTGATAAGAGGCCTAGTGCCTGAATATGTTATAGATGGGGTGGCTATATTACAATAGAGGCAGAACATTTAAAATAAGGGCCCGTAGGGAACCCCTAGGATCCTCGTCCATCAGTGTCTCCTCTAGAAATCATCTATTAGTGGCACACACTTAAGAAGCTCGCCTCAAGAAATTATTGTCCTAAAGAGACCATAACATTTTCATATAAATTTGAATGAAGACAAGCTTTATTCCAATTGTAGTGGAGATCGATGTGAACTATGACTTTGTAGATGAAAAGATTTTTTATTCGAAACTGTTTGAAGTACCAAAAGTTTATTTTAATTTCTTAGAATTGAAATTTAATTTAGAATTTTTTTTAACAGTCTTGGATGTTGGTATATGGTCTATAACAAAGGTGTAGTTATCAATGCATACTACAACTTTCTAGCTGACATTTTTTTATTTAAAATCATTTAGAGTCCTAAATATATGTTTTAATTTTATAGATTTTCAAATTCAAATTTTGGAATTTCCAAATTACCTTGAACGTTCACATAATTAATGAATACTGAAGTTTTAGTTGTGACGCGATCTACAAGTTTGTAGTAGTTTATAATTTCTTTTATTTGAAATTGTTTATTCTCAAATATGCATTTTAAGTTCAAATATTTTGAGATTTTTTTTTGAATTTTTAAACGATCTTGAATGGAGACATGCTCTATGCTAAAGTTGCAGTTTGATAAAATTTTGTAGTAATACAAAAGGATAGCATTCTATATTTACTCACAGATAAATATGCAGTACAGTGACAGAGAGGTGTTAGCGCGCGCCCATCTCTGTTTGTAAATAAAAAATGCCCTCTGTTTGTAAATCAAAAAACCCACCTTTGATTATGCTTTTCATAGTAGTGATATCTGATCAATCAAAATTGATCTACATTTATTTTCTGATAACCTTTAAATCTGAAGTTTTCTGACCCCATATTCTACAAGCTTCTCGACAAAGTTCGTGAACATTCTAGGTGACTTGTCAATCCCAGAATAACTCTAGTTACAGTTCGTTTATTTTGCAGTCGACTAGGTGAAACGTGACAAAACAATTTTCATCGAGTTTGCCGCGGGTGATCTGTGATTCTGTTCAATGATCCGAGCATGCGGTTCATAGTAGGACCTTAACTACGTCAACTGATGAATTAACCATGAGTCCGCCGCAGGCCCTAGCACTAGCAGCAGCAACAACTCGCACGCATGGAAATATCGAATGTTGGAAAGCTACAAAACACTTTGCAGCAAATTTTAGATTTCCTGAATGCTAAACGTGGCATCCACGTCTGGTCACAAGGCACGAGCATACAAACATCTGAATGCTAAACGTGGCATCCACGTCTGGTCACAAGGCACGAGCATACAAACATCTGGAAACTTCGGTGGACTCTGGCTGTCAAGCCTGCGTGAACCCATTAATCAATCAATCAATTAAATTAATCGCTGGCTCATTGAACCCTAGTACCCAACCACATCTTGGCAAGCAAACTCCTAATCAGGTGTCACGCCCAACGCCCATGGAACACTCTTCTTGATGACAGCAAATGCTCGACCGCGCGCGCTGCACTGACATGGGTAACGTGTAAGTGTAACGAGAACTTTCCAACAACCGTACGAACACAAGCCCCGTGCGAGTGCGACGGCACGTGCCTAGCGGCCGCTGCTCGCGCTGCCATGGTCTTGACGACCGTCCACTGGCGGCAGCCGGTTCATCCGCGACAGCCCGCACGTCGACGTCGCTGCTCTGCATCAAGATGGCAACGGGTATATACCCGATGGATACCACCAACCCATACCCGTACCCGCCAGGTGAGATTTTACCCGTCGGGTTACCCGTATCTGCACACGGGTAGGTAATGCTACCCGACGGGTAACCCATACCCACGAGCAAACCTGAGCATGACATGATATCATCATTTAGTAGTTCAGACATTCAGTAACTTTTTTCTTTAAAACGAGACATACAGTAACTAGTAGTTCGGTACATGTGCTCAAAAGCAAATAATCTGACACCAATCAACACAAGAGACCCGTCAAAGCATGGATCTAGCACAAAACAACATAGTCAGAGAACGGATCTGACACAAATCGATTATGCTCTACTCTCCCTTGTCACCGTGGATCCATGAATGGCGAGGAGAGGAAAGAGGATGAGGGTCAGCAATCACGGTTGGGGCCTCTTGCTCGCCGTTGGACTGTTGGAGATGAGTGGGAGTCGCGCCGGAGTTTGCTGCCACCAAGGGGCAAGGGGAGAAGAAGCGAGCGCCTGGATGCCTGGTGGTGACGATGGGCCGTGGGTGGCGGCAGGTGTCGAGTGCGGGACTAGGAGAAAAGTGGCGATCGGTGTCGCATGCGATGCGCCTAGCACCGGTGATGTGCGGCTAGGAGGTTAGGACAAGGGAGAGAATGAAATAGAGCTAGGGTTAAAGAATTGTGTTGTCAATATATATATATAAGTATGTTTCAACTAGGCTTGGGCCAAATATTTGGTTTACATGGGCCAAATTGAGTAGAATAGCTGATTGCATATGCGGTATTTATTACTCACGGGTAGACGGGTGTGGGTAGTATGAACCCTATACCCGCACCTGTGTACCCGACGGGTAGAGGATTTCGTCCAATAACATAGCGTGGGTAGAAAAAGTTATTTATACCCTCATCTTTGCCGAGTAAAATCCATCGGATAGTCAAATTTTGGGTACCACTGCCATCTTCTAGCTCTGCAGTATGTGCAGGTACTGCTCGAGACCAGGGAATTCCTCCACCGTCTCCGTGGCGGAAGACGACGACGACGCGGCCGGCATCTGGGGTGACGACGACGTCGTCGTCGGGAAGTTGAGCTTGGCCTTGGCGCCCTTGAACCTGCGCGCGGCGGCGTCGTAGGCGCGGGCGGCCTCCTCGGGTGTGGCGAACGTGCCAAGCCACACGCGCGCCGCCTTCTCCGGGTCCCGTATCTCGGCCGCCCACTTGCCCCACGGCCGCCGCCTCACGCCCCTGTACTGTGCCCGCGCCTGCAGCTCCGTCGCTCCTCCTCCTGCATGCATTCCCCGCCGTACGGGACGTGTGACGACCAACCACCAAACATGCATGTACGCAGAGAGAGACCGCAGTACCTTGACGCGGCCCCGGCGGAAGCGCCGCCGCCGCCTCGCCCCCGCGCGGTGGTTCTGTGGCGCAGACGACGTGCGTGAGCGCCGCGGCCATGACGGCGACGTCGTAATCGGCGCGGGCCGCGGAGTAACTGTGGCCGAGAAAGCCGCGGCCGCCCCCTGCTGCCGGTTCCACCTTTGGCACCTCTCCGTGCCGAGGAGTGCCGACGCCTCTCTGGGCATGCATGCTGCCTCCCCGTCAAAAGCCCATACGTCTCCGAACACGGAAGCAAGAAAGGTGATAAGATAACGATGTGAAGTAGAGACCGCTGAGCACCCTATATTATATATGCACGCTCTCTGCCACCGCGATGGTTAAAAAAAAAAGTACACTTTTGTCCTTCAACTATTGGATTCGTTTAATTTTAATTCTTAACTACAAAACCGTCTAACTATAAAACTGTCTAATGC